GATTTTTCGATAATTATCGAGCGTCACCGTCGCGTCGTCCGTTGGTCGTGAAACAGCTCAGCTTGGCGCGCAGGCGCTCCTAACGAGACGAGCGCCGAGAAAATATTGGCGAAAGTAAGTGAATCGACCAAGAGAGTTGCACAAGTGTCCCCCATGCCACTTCTCTCGCAATGCTCCGCAACCCGGCGATACCTTTAACGAACTTTGTCCGGCCGCGATGTCTGGCTCGATAACGACCGATTCCATCGATTTCGCGATCTCTCCCTCTCTCTCTATCACGATGTTGTTATCTGCTGTCGTCGGGCTCGATTGTCGTTCGCGGGGTTCACTGTCTCGGTTTCGCGGTACAGTTTTACGGGAAAGTACGATAACGCCCCGAGCTACCAAGTGGTTCCTCGATATTGGATAGGAAGATGTAGAATAGATCTCGGATGGAGATTGAAATAATGTGTACTTATTGGGGTACAGGATAAATGTCTATTGTAAATCAGAGAGACAAGCGGCTGGACAGGAGTGGATCACTTAATGTTGGAGAAATGGACAATTTGTCGATGATCAAGTGAAACGAAGAAATAAAAATTAAGTCAGAGAGTAAATTTTATGAACTTCGATTTCAACCGGTCAGTGGTATCGTGTAAATTTTGTAAATTGGGAATCGCAATTCAACAGGGAGAAACAACTTTTAAAATTCCACGATATTGCTCCGTTTTCGAAGCTTCTGCTCTGTTGCTCTAATTTTTGTAAGAGAATCAAATCAAAGATTCAAGATGAAGACGTAAAAGTTAAGTCAAAAAAATAAATTTCGTGAATTTCAATTTCAATCGCAAAAATGATATTGAATAAATTATTAACATTGTATAAATTATTAACTGCGACTGTATTTTTTTTTTTTTTTTCAAAGCTTCAATGAAGAAGCAACTTCTCTCTATTTTCAGGAAACTGAAATCAAAGAATTGGAAAGCGTAAGAAAAAATAAAAATTAAGGCAGAGAGTAAATTTTATGAACGAGAATCGCTCAGTGGTACTATTGTACAACTATGATTATATTTTCTATAAAACCTCAACAGAGAAACGACTTCTGAGATTCTACGGTTTCGCTCTCAGTTTTTCGAGACAGTCGGAGAAAAAAGGCATCGAAGTACGAGCAATTGTGAATCGGGACGAACGAAGGGGAGCGTACGGCGCGAAGTAGAATAGGAATTTTCGCGCAGACTCGAGTGGAATAATCGCATCGAGGCAGACAGCGGTACGAAATTCGCCACGAGCCCCTCGCGAATGCGGGCCACGTAAGAAAAGGTGTCAGACACACGCCAGCGAGAGTGATAACCCGTCAGTTATATAAATGTATTAAATTATATTCCATACGGCAGACACGCATCGCCGATGCGATGGAGAACCGACTGGACGTTTGGCTGATTGGTTAGCGAGATCGTGTAACAAATGTTTTCACGATCTGTATTATTATTCCCGAGCGCGAGAAAAGTGCTCTTCCGTGGTCTCTCTCTCTCTCTCTCTCTGCCTTTAACAATGAGCGAGAGTCGGAGAGCCGGCCTCTCTTCTCTCGTTCCTTCGTCCCCTTTCTGCCGGCTCTCCGTTTCATTGTTTCCATTATGATCGCCATATAGATTCCCATGGCCGAGATTTTCGAACAGCGATCGGTGTCACAGCGAAGACAAATCTCCCGGGATTACATTAGACCGTCGGTTGCGAAATCTGTTCACCTCGTACGAACGTACTAATCAAATGTTCACCGGTTTCACGTGAAACGCTGCCTCGGACGGTTGTTCGATGAATTAATAACGATCGGTGCCGATTCAGGAAAAACATGATTCCAGAGAGTGGATTAGTTAATTGCTCGATTAATGTACCTTCGGCTCTGGTGGCATGTATGACACGTGGGCGTCGTTGAAATTGAGGAAATTGGTGATGAATTGTAGGATGATTGGTTAAAATTGATTATGAATTTGAAGCTGTTCGCTGAGAAATGTTGAGAATTAAATAGAATTAACTAGAATTTAATTACTGACGTATTGGTATTCGAGTTATTTAACTCGTCGTTGAATTGAATTGAATCGCTATCGTTAATCAAATCCTTCCACAACGTTCAAATATCCATCAAGTTTATTTCACTCGCGCGTACAGGAATCAATTTCCTCGTACAACGCACATACATGCACACAATATGTGTGCGCTCTCGTACATATTTTATTTACACGTAACTGCACAATGAGATCATTGTTACGTTGCATTGATGTTGCGTTATAGAGTAGACGTTGAAGTAGACCGAGCTCTAGAAGTTTCCCAAACGAATTTCACCCTCTCTCGAGACTGCGTCTCCCGTGAAATCCGAATCTCGCCGACGAAAACTCGAGACGAAGAGAGCTCCAAACTTGAGATCCGTGCTCCCGCCACGCAGGAGATGCAAATTGGTGGGCGTGAAAGGGACTCGCGGCGCTTATAACGGGACGCGATTAAACAAAGCGGCCGGTTAAACAAAGAGGCTAATCAAGACCCACCCCATGGCCACTCTCTCTCTCTCTCTCTCTCTC